GGTTTTCATCATAAAAAGGGCCATCGCGATTTGCCAAAGTCCGTAATCACGCTCCATTTTTGATGTGTTGTTTTCGAAATAACCTTAATTTGCCACATTGGTAACAGGTGATATATACAAGATTCTTCAATAGGGTTATAACTATTATGGCATCTAATCCAGTAGGCATATTAATATCATAAAGTAGGTCCTCGAATACTGTGAACGATTAATTGCCCAAGTTGTCATATACTGTTTTCCAGCATTGATTATACTTCACCAGCGATGGTCACCTATTCTAAGTACGCATGGAGAACATTTGGTCGATAAAATTCAAATATGAATAAACAAGTGTAATACGTCTTAAAAATAGAAAAAAAACAATGTGTTTTAATTTATTCGGACATACTATTTTAATCAAGCTTAAATTACAGCTTATTTTTTATGCCGGCTCAAATTAACGCCATAAACAAATTAATTATATTTTTCAGTGGACATTATCATTGAGAAAGCTGCACAAGAACATCAATTCTATTTAAAATAATTTTTTCCTCCAAAAGCTTAAAACATATTTCAACACTATTAATGGCAAATGATACCCCCCCCCCCCCCAATTTCTTAAGACTAGGGTGGCCATCTTTTAGTACCTAATGTAATATTTATCTTCAAATAGTTGGAACAGGCTTAGCTTGACCGATAACACTCAAGGTTGGAGTCAACTGAGATAGACATTCATTCTGATATTATGCCAGCTATAGTGGGGTCCAAGAAAGGCCAATGCGCGATTCACGTCAGTCGAACCAATATTAACAATATTCATGCAAACGCCGAATGGTAGAAAGCACCGAACTAGTAAAGTAACGATGCCACCAAGAAAGCTGGGCGATGTTTTGAACTTTTTGATGACGTTGGAAATAAGGTTCCAGCGTCACTATCAGCGTCCTTTCGTCAGCTCTTTACCTGTAGTATAAAAGTTATATCTCTCAATGACAGTGAAAGTAACTACAAAAAAGAAACTCAACATGCCGAGTTGTTTTTACCGCGAATTTGGCAGCTTTGTTCTTTTCACACCGACAAAAAACGTTCTCCTCGAATATATTCTTTGGTCAATGTTAAAAACAAGAGCTTTCATTGGAAGTTGTTTATCATGTAGACATCAAGGATTAGTACTGATTATATCCGTTATCGTTATTTTAGTAAGGTCTTATTTAAATTATGCAAGTATTATCCCTGTGATGTAATTTATTGTGATATATTTCACTCTGCACTGCAAAATGTATTGTTTAATCTTAGCTAATATTCACCATGCCGCACTAGTGGCCGCATTTACCGTAACTTCTTCATTGACTTGTTTTCTCAACTGATGTTATGTAAAGGCGAAAGGGATACAGTTTTTTATTAGCCCTTACAGACGACACACACCAAAATTTTGACTGCTTTAAATTTTGCTCTTTCGTAAGTCAGAAATGGACACAAATTGTGGAAGTCGGCACCTTACACCTAATTTCAACCGAGAAAAAAGTATACACAATATTTTCAATATTTCTTCTAGGTATCTACATATGCTATTGCAGCCTTATGTTTTGGAAATATTTTTTGCTTCGGAAATAACCGTGCCCAAGACATAAGTTGCTTCGACAGTAGCCCATTTCAATATTTCCAATACAACAAAAATTTGGGCCAGTCGCTCCATGATCACATAAAAACGCAAAAACACACACAAACAAGGGCAACAGGAGGCCTAATCTAGAGGGCGGACTAACAACTAAGATTTCTTGATAAACAAATCACCAGTCACTTTCCCACCCACAACTTTTGCGGGTGTAACACCCGTTTCAAGAAAGCGTCCTCCTTGGACGATAAGGACGTTCAAATCTCAGTAAGACATTGCCTGCTTTTTTCTTTAACTTGATACGTCTCCCGCATATCTCAAGGTATTATATCGAGATACCTTAAAAGAAACCTTATCGCCGCTTAACGACGGGGCACGTGGGAAACACCTACAATGGTTGGCGAGACGTCTCAACGTGGATTTCTTTGCAGCCCAACGTAAACGTTCGCTATCCTTAAAATCTGCTTATCTGGTCGATGTATTACGCTGCTCGCAAGATCGGTAGTTGCGCATTCTTTGAACTTTCTTTGGTGCACCGTTATGCAGGGATCTGGTGTATCCCGCGAATTGCTTATTCGGTGGCACAAGCCACACCTCAAGGGGCACTCTCTCGTTTATCAACGGTGTCTTTAAAGTTCTTTAGACAGGATTGCCTTCATGAGCATCCAAGCGTCTTTGAAGAAATCGCGCAGGCACAGCGCTCAAAAGAGCTTTCCGAAAGAGGTGGCACAGTCCCAAAAAGCCGGGTACCCTCAGAGCGCTGCAAAGGTAGTGGTGGAGATCGCAGAAAATTGTCAAAGGCACGCAGAAGCAACCATAGACAAAAACATATCGATGCCGTTTATCATACCGTTCATGAGCTTAATAACCCAACATCACAAAAAAGCTGCTGATCGCTATAGTATACATGTGGCTTTCTTCTCCACCCAACAGGTTCTCGAGCTTGTACCGCGTTAAAAGTAATTTCTAAAATACAGCCGATCTCTGCAAAAATACGCACTGCAACATGTTAAAAGAATGAGTCACGTGAGTGCTATATTAAATACCCATTTCATTCCGATCGTGATACATCGACGAGTCATGCGTTTGTTTCACCTAAAGGTCCTAATGAGGGGTTCCAACAAGTAACGGCATTCTTTGAAGCGCCGACTCCGTGTCAGTACAGATTTTAGGAAGGAAATGGCGGCGCACAGAAGAAGACCGACCTGAATGACTCTAATTTTTTCCTATAAAATCTGCTGCGTCATTCGTTTAGCTGCTATTTGTAAAAAAAAAAATTATGGACATAATATTTGTCGATCACGCATGATAACATTCTGCGGCTACCGGGACAACTGCGTTAGGACATTTCTGTACATATTGTAGTCGCTGCCCATGTGCCTAGTCAGTAACAAAATATTTGGAGAGGTTCATGAGGCGTTTAAATTCCAAGCAAAAGGTACGCAATGTATTTGTAACACTTCAAATGTCTTGTCGTCTAAAGGGTACGCTTTCTTGAAATGGGGGTTCACAGACCATAGTGATGACTGTGCCGCTTTGCAAGGTATATGTGATTTTTTAGAGCGCAGCTCTTAGGGGCCCGTTTCCAGCCTGAGCGGCGTCGGCGTCGGCGTCGGCGTCGGCGTCGGCGTAACCACGCCCCTCCCCCTCCTCCTCCCCTCCTCCCCTCATTATCTAGTATGGTCCGAGGGGGTCACGTGACCTTGAGGGGGGTCACATGACCCGCTTCCAGCCTGTGCGGTGTCGGCGTAACCGCGCCCCTCCCCTCCCCCCTTCCTCCTCCTCCCCTCCTCCTCCTCCTCCCCTCTTCCCCTCATTATCTAGTATGGTCCGAGGGGGTCACGTGACCTCGGGGGAGGGGGTCACATGACCCGCTTCCAGCCTGTGCGCCGTCGGCGTAACCGCGCCCCTCCCTCTCCTCCTCTCCCTCCTCGTCCTCTCCCTCTCTCCTCCTCCTCTCCCTCCTTCTCCTCCTCCTCCCCTTATTGTCTAGTATGGTCGGGGGGGGCCACGTGACCTCGGGGGGAGGGGTCACATGACCTTGGGGGCGAGGAGGAGGAGGGGGAGGAGGAGGGGGAGGCGGAGGCGAGGGGAGGAGAGGAGCTTGAAGGACGAGGAGGCGGCGAAGGAGAGGGAGGGGGTGGAGGAGGAGGAGGGGAGGAGGACTAGCAGGCATGATCACGAGGGAGGAGGAGGAATATACCCTCCCCTCAGTACCCTTCCCTCCTCCTCCTCAAGAGCTGCGCTCCAATTCGGCGTTACAGGAAGTTGTAAACGGCTTTCACTTTTTTTTTCAAAAATTTAAGAAACTTAAGTCTGGTTATGCGTATGAATGCGAAATCATTCGTTTAAGCAGCGTTGTTGTGCTTGCGGTCAATGGTAATAATTAATTGCCATTTTGAGTGTGCCCTGAATCGTCCAATTTCCTGCATGCACGCATGTTTTTTTTTCATATTTTTTGCATTTTTATGTAATTGTGTGTACAAAATTATTTATACTCCACGCAGTAGCCAAAACTGTGAGATTAAAAAAAATCGACAACATAACGCTTTGCATAAGTTACGAACGTCACCTGAAAATATAGAAAAAGTTTTATTTTTATAGCGTGTTTGATTTTTCTTCGAACACATCTTTAAAGAAAAGGATGATAGTCACGTGGGCACCGTCTCGAAACTTTTTTTTTATCAGTATTGGCTGAGAAGATATACGAAGTAAGTGTTTAATAATTAGAAAGCTAATTAACAAAGCATTTGTCTTCAAATAATGCCATAATAGGATTTAAAATCGCACCAAGATGCCCGTTTTTTCCATTAAATCACTTTGTTTTAAGACAGCACCATGTATCGGTCCTCACAGAGCTAAATTACGTTTGTATAATTAACATACTAGGCAACTTGATCCATTTCATTTTTATCATGAAACGGAATCCTTTAAAAGTAGCATCTTATATGTATTTGGATGCCATACAGAAATGTGTTTTGTTTATTGAGGACGAACTGTAATCATTACATACGCTGATCATATTTTCATGAAGATATAGCAAGAAGCCAATTTTTAATCAGTCTCATCGCAGACTTGAAATTGCAGCTCAAAGTTGAAGGGTCGGAGCATTTTCCGCAGAGAGCGTTGACGTCCGTTCTGACGGTGAATTTGACATGTTGATGCGTCATCGCGGAAAGGTTGTTTCAGCTGCATGACATGTATATGTCAAACTGCGTATGCTATGAACAAACAAACAGCTACGTAATTCAGCATGAAAAAACTGTGCATTTGGTAGAACAGTTCTAGCTGCAAGTGGAGAAAAGTTAAACATTTAATAAAGTAACTGCCTTTACTTTTGCGACTATATAAGGTCCGACTGTAGTGGCCATAGGCGTTCACGTGCTCGTAGAGAACCAGTAGACCAACTATGGGGTTGACCGGAACCACGCTGGTGTTGGGTGAGGTTCTACATTTTTTTAAAGGATCTGATGACATATTCAATTAAGGGCTATGGTTATGTATATAACACTCAAATTGTTTTATATAAATAATTTGAAGCTGACTGCAATTCAAGTGACACTGTTCAGTGAAGTATATATTTTTACTAATCTTCATACATGAGAACATCACTAATTTCTGTTACGTACATGCCAGGCAAAAGCTTTAGAAAATTGATTTGTCGTAAATGAAAGTACCGAATGCATAATACTCAGCCATCATAATGCCTTTTTCAGACACCGCTTGTTTTTTTTCCCAGTTGTCAGTGTTCTTCAGAAACTATATGTCCCCTGCCATCTTTTGGAGATGAAAAGCTCTGAACAAATATGAGCCCAAAAAATAGCCACCGCGAAAACTATTCCTGTCCTAATTATTTAGGTTATACGTTTGCTAAAAACGAAATACATATTTTTGAATAGGTTGATAGAAATAACTTTCTTTTTTCACACTCATAGACCTGGCTTGCATCAAAGGTTTTCCGGTGAAAGAGACTTCCCTCCGCATTTCACCTCGCATTTCAAAACACTAGTGATGTTATTTCTTGTTTTTTTTTGTTTTTTTTCTCACCCACTCGAAAATATTAATCGCGCAGTAGATTTTGAAAATGCATTTCGCGAAACTCCTTCAACAACAGCAGCCAGCACGTAGGGTTCGCCTTATTAGCTGCGAGATAAGCTTTACATCGATTGCGTGTGATGTTAACTGAACTTGCGAATTGTGCCTTTTCACAGGTGTAGACATTTCCTCGTACAAATCTTTATACCAATAGACACCGAGTTGAGGAATGGGGTTCTTTCCTCAACTTGATCATAATTGAAGGCCTTATCACATATTAAATTTAAACAACCGTATTCTTAATACAAACTATGTTTAAGATGTCATCTTTATAACATGAGACATAGATTTGGTAACTAAGAACATGCAAGAGCTTCGCAATGGCGGTAATCGGTTATCGCGTTTGCCCATCGACCGTATCCCTGCTCCTTAAGATTACACCGTATGCTTCTAACGGATACCTCGGTTAAGAACAAACATCCATATCTTATGAGAATAATACCTAATAGTGCTTCACGTTGCAGTTTCAAATACGATTCAAAAAGGTATCTTTGTCATGTTCAGATTAAAATTGAACGTCAATGAACAGGTCTATTTTAGCTACTGTGTAAAATATGACGTGTAATTTTCATCCTTGTGGAGGTGATGGTACCAATAATATTTCACTGCTGTTTCTTGCCGATGTTTTGTTTTTGCCGATGATTTGTTCTTTTTTCCCATTGACTGCTGATGCAGTCTACTGAGGGGACTGGGCCTCGTCCGGAAGAGCTTATCTGCATTTTGTCCTTTCTCCTTGTGACTCTGTGTCCGAAATAAAAGAAGAAAAAAAACGCTTCCATATACTGTGTGGGTTTCCCGATGCAAAAAATAAGCGAATATTTCGTCAATTTCTTTTGTTTATTTATTATTACGTTAATATAAAGCTTACGTTCGTTGAGCCCAAATACAAGTTAAAACAAACTACTAACGGTGACTTTACATGAATTGATTTTTATGAGCTTTATTTCCTGCAGTGTCTCTTGCGCTCTTCTAAAGCGCTGGTGCACACAATCTATTTTTTTTTTCAAGGTCAAAATATATTTTCCTAAGGATAGACCTGGCGTACATAAAATGTTTTCCGAGAAAGAGGTTTCCCTCCACATTTCAAGTAGCCTTAAAAAACGACAGCGATCTTTTTTTTTTTTTTCTACTCGTTCCCACTCGAGAAAATGAATCGCACAGTAGATTTTGCATAAACATTTTGTGAAACTGGTTCGAAGACACCAGGCAGCACCTAGGGTCCTCTTTTGTCCCTTCGAGATCGGTTTAACATCGGTTAAGTGTGCTGGGTTAAACAGACGTGTGTAAAACTTTCCGGATTAAATTCCAAATTGTAGTTTTTTTCAAGTGCAGACATTTTCTCCCGCATATCGTCATGTCAATAAATACCGAGTTGAGGAAAGATGTTCTTGCCACCACTTGATCATAATTTAATTTATTGCGCCAGATTAAAGTTATACACTTTATAACAGCCGTGGATGCAGGAACTAAGACCATGCAACAGTTTCGCAGTGGCGGAAATCGGTTAATGCGCTTGCCCAATGCCCGAAGTACTGCCCCTCGATATTGAGCTGTAAGGTTATTTCTAAAGAAACGTTTACAATAATAGGCACAAAACATACGTGAAAGCAAATAGGGTTAAATAAAACTTTTAAGCGTGGCTTCAGTTGAATTGGTGTTTGTGTGCTTCATTGCCTGCAGTGTCTCTGGCCTTCTTCGGGAGCACTGCAGCCCACAATTGCCAGAACGGAACGAGACCCGCATCGGTAAAATTTCTTTAATTACACGTTTGGAAACTTTTCGAGGTTTGATTTATAAAGGAAAGCAACGATTATGTGCAGTTCACTTTTTTTGTATATCTTTTCTCACGCATTAAAATGAACGTCACTTCGTGCACGAAATAATACCTATTTTTAGAAATTACTAGCACGCGATTCACATTGCGTAAACAAGTTCTTGCGAATATTAGTTTCAATTTTGTTCATGCTGTTTATACTTCCTACAGGAGCAAAATAGAGAAGGCTGCGACTTTTACTGCTGGAATACTGGCACCAATTCATGGGACAAATTTTTCTTTGGGAACGGAGAAAAATGCTTTGTGAGTAGCAAGCCTAATCTAGTTAACACACGTACGGGCTCCCGCGCCCTGCGTGTTATCAGCTTTTGTTATGTAGGTCTTTGAAGTAAATAGTATAATTCCTTTAAATTTTTAAACAATTTTACTAAAGCGGTTTTAGAATATTGCACATCAGGAGAAGCGTACCTCTCTTTCTTTAGGTCATTCACTGCCATATTTAGTCCGACATTTCAAATTTTTTTATCCTTTCCCCACCATAAGAAACCTTAATATGATATGGCGGTATTATATTTATATGGGTTTAGCTCTTAATATGGAGGCGATGATTTTTCAATAAGAAGAGACGCAAAGAAGGTACACAAGTCGAAAGCCTTGCCTTCATCCACTAAGCCGAAGCAAATTTATGGTGACTAGTCGTGTCCTAGAAATTAATTGAGAAGACAGGCGAGGCGCTGCACGCCCCGCTGTGGAGGGTCGGTGCACACTCACTATGCACTAAAACTAATAAATTCGGAAAGGTTTAGAAATTACGTGGCAAAGTAATACTGCGAAGAAACGTGGAACTATGACATCCCATGTCTGATCTCACATAATCAAGTGACGCCATCAGGCGTCGTAGTGTTAGTGTCGTCACGCGATCTCGGAGTATCCCGCTCTATGTAGCGGGTAAAGCTTCCCTCCAAAATTTAGCAGGGAACCGTTTCACGTGACGCCGAAGCATAAGGTGAGGTTAGTTTCTCCGCTATATATAACAGCAAGCATTCTGAGATAAACAAAGCAGGAAAACGCTTTACACGACTTCACGTGTCCTGACGTCATATGACGATGCAAGTTCTCGTCGCTTAATTTAGCTGCCTCAGCGGGATGACATCAAAGTGTCCCGTGACGTCACAGTGTCATATGATAGCGTCATTTTCGGTTAAATCTCGCCAAAATCGCTAGCCGCTCTAATTTACCGGGTCACGCCTCTCCACAAGATTCTGCACACAAAAAAAAAAGAAAAAAAAAACAAACACGAGAGGGATCCGCTGCGAAACTTCGCGAATTACGAATGTAGCCGTAGAAAGACTAGTTTCGAAATGAGACGGACTTGGTTTTCGAAGATTTTCGAGGTTACTAAATTCCCGCAATATAAACCGCCGGAATATTGGTTGACTGCTTTGTATGAGTGCTCTGCATCTGTCTCACAACAGTATTTTTTAAATGAATTTGAGCACAAGTAGTTGGAACTTAAACCTTTTATAATGAGGCAACATTCTCGTTTATCTTTTTGGAAATATATTTTTTCTAATCGACACAGCATAATAACTTTCAGCTACGCTTATATTGCATTTTAATTATTATTATGAATGACGTGTCACCTAAATGATTTTGATAAAATTAGCAAGGAAAATCGAACACCATATGACGTCGCGCAAAATCATGTCTCGTGGAGAGTTTTCACTACTAACTCTAGTGCGTGATTTGTACCGTACGTTAAGCGTAGCGGGTGCATTTTACGGTACATTAAATGGAAAGGTTTTAAAATATTGGGATCTCATACCTTGAATTGTTCCGTTACAGAAAATTACTTATCAGGCATATCTGAAATTTGTATGAATTTTTTTACTTTCTTATTTCCAGTACAACAGTGGTGATCGGGGAACATGTCAAAACGGAGAATGTCATTTGACAACTAGTTCAGGTGGGCCCACCGACACTGATGACAATACTCCTGCGCCCACTGAAAAGCCCAAGCAAAAAAAGAAGAAACCTAAGAAGACTAAGAAACCTAAGCGCAAGTCAAAGAAAGATCAGTAGGAGAACTTCTCACTAGAAGAAATAAACCTAAACCAGGCTAAATAAAGTTGAGCACACTGACTCTTCGTACTGTGCACACTAGTGGTGCAAATTCATTGGTAGTCCTATCAATGATATCGATAGTTGAAGCCGGACTAACTATCGATAGTGAGAAATCTACCGACAGAGATATCGATATATTTCACTATAGTAAATTTATTGATATATACTACCGATTGTATTCTTTCGACAGTCACCTATCGTGAAACTATCGACTTTACATTACCGATGGACAATAGCAATGCGATCCATAGTATTTCATTATGTGGAGAAGAACCTAAAAACGTACATTCAGGGAATGTTCTCAAACTCGGAGAAAAACGCGACAGCAATTTGGTACTTCGGCATAATTATCGAGGAACAAATTATAACCGACAGTAGACTGGTAGAAATTCTCCTTGGAAACAGTTGACAATAAAATGTTGCAAACCTGCCAAATAGAGAAACGGTAGGAAAACTGCTGTTGAAAAACTACGAATAAAAAGTATTGATAGGGAAATGTCGTTACTTTTCTTGATATGTCGTTGAAGCTTTTTTGTTTTTCTTAGATTGTCTTTTGTGAGTTTCGTTTTTGCATATTTATAGCCAGAGTTCCATTAGGAAATTGAAAATATTTTGTCGACTTTGGTAAGTAAACTACGTGTCGCAGAAATCCAAAACTCTATTTGAATATGTTGCTATGCAGGGTGCTAAAATGCGAACTTATGGAGAGATGGCATTACTTGGACAAAAATATAAAAGTAGCGTTTCTCTCGTCCGAACAGATAGCGAGAAAGTTCACAATGTTGCCTTTAAGATTCACAGCCCTTTTTCACTAATATAATTTCTCATTGCCAATATACCGCGGGGTGGGAGTGGGAGGATGCCCTTCTCCCCTCCCCCCCCCCCCAAACCAAAGAACAAAAAAAAATAAATATATACAGTGTTTCTTTAATGACAAAATAAACTACGCTTTGCTGTCCGAACCAGATACCGAAGTTTCGGAACTAACCGTTATCTTTTCATACAAAATAAGTGATCTTTTTTTTTTTAATTTTCAATAGCAAAATATCGGCCGACGAACCTTTCAAGTTCAGGGAGCTGAATGGCGTCTGTTCACGGACACAAAAAATGCGGGTCCCACTTTCCCAATGAAATTTTCAGAAAATAACTTTTAGGCAGGCCATATGTACTTTCCGTTTTTAATAAAAAAAAAACACCGATAAACATCGGCCTCTTGGGAAAATAAAAAAAAAATCTGTTTTAAATGAAATATACCTGTTCCTGGAAATTTTCGTAAAAGCGGCAGTTCTTTTCACCAAAAAAAATTCAATGTAGAGGTTAGTAAGACTCGTTCTTTCATTTATTTTTTTATGTTCGTGGCTTTACACGTACCCAAGTCTTTTAGTAATCAAGATCTGTTTTTACAGCGAAGCTGTATACCTCTGCAAGCCAAAGAAATTTTCGTGTCGTTCGCATTGGAAGCGAAAAACTCCCGGCGAACAATTGAAGGCACAACAGCATATCTCCTTTGAAATCAGGCATACAGCATGCAGCTCAGTATCTGTTCCAATAAAGAAACCACAAAAAAAGCATCAAAACCACATGAGGAATGATAAGAAGCGTGTGAACAATAGGAATACTCTCCTACGCGTTCCGTTAAAGATTAGGATTGCAGTTGCTTCGAAAAGGGTTGACGTCATTCGAAGCCCTCGTGTGAAGTGCAAACCGCATAATGGATGAAAACGGCGCCTGCGAACAACGCGAAGCGCGTTCCTTCTCCCAGCGTGTGTTTTCGTGCCGTGGTTCTCGCGGTAAAAAAAATACTTCAGAAGGTTGAAGCGAAAAGTAGAAACAACACGCTAGGCACGTAGCCAGGATTTTGTTTCGGGAGAAGGGGGGGGGGGGGGAGGGGGCGCCCATAACAAAATGCTGTATGAGGGGGAGGGGGGAGAGGAGGTCCCAGCAAATTGGAAGATTTCGGGGGAGGTCCGGGCCCCATGGGCCTCCCCCCTGGCTACGTGTCTGCACCACGCGTACAACATACAGCACAGCTTTCGTTTCAATAAAGAATAAGCAAATAACGAGCATTTTAACCATATTGTGATTGATAAGGAGCTCCTCAAAACAATGCGAAGCACTTATTGCTCACCGCATATGTTCCCGGTAGAGACTACTGTTGCCCAAGCTGCCGTAGTGGCGGCAGCTTGCGACGTGGGGAGTAACGTCACTTTCCGCCTACACCCCGTTTCACCTGACGTCCGGACGCAGCGGATGCTACGAGCTACCTTAGCCGATCCCGTTCTGTGGACGTTGCTCGTGATACGCTTTCCGCGCGCCGCTGTGCCCCCTCTCTTAAGGTCACGTGACGCTCAAATGGTTTCCGATTGGCTCCGATGGCTCGTAACATCCGTTGCGCTTAAACGTAAGATGAAACGGGGTATAGCAACTGATTTCATTGTTGCTGCACCAACGCGACGAATAGGCCACGCTTAGTTAAGACTCCTTAAGAGCAGCGTGAATACTAGGAGAAGGCAAAGGGAAAAGAAACGGCAATAGGAGCAGCGGCGGCGTGATGCGACCCGTGGCGTCATTTCGTATAGTGCAGTAGGAAATCATTGCAGGTGATACCAATAATTCGCTGACCAACCACCTTCACAGCATGAATTGGAGCCCCAACTTTTTTTTTCTTCTGTTACTGCTGGTTACTCTGTCCTTCACTTTATGTCCTCAAATATTTGTCCTGATTGTGCTCTTTTCTAGATTGCCTCATTGAAGGTTGCCCTCCTTTTTTGTGAACCCTAGTTGAGTGGTTTGAAGTGTGTTTCATAGTATTTCGGTGGAAGCTTGTCCGAAATTTGCATTCACCAGACTGGCCAGTATTCTCCAAAGCGTATTTGAACACTTGAGACTTCCCCATCCTAACGCAAATGTAGAGCGGGCGTTCTCGAAACTTCGCGTCGTCAACAGGAAGGAGCTGGCGGGTATGACATATGCGAGCCTTGGAATGCATTCATGTATATATTACAATTATGACGTGTGTATATCACTGTGTATCAATGTAAATAAAAGTTGAACCATTTCCCGTCTTGATTTCTTCGTTTCTATTTCCAACTTTTTTTTCTTTTTTTTTTTTTTTCACGTCGATAAAAGCCGTTTTAAGCATTTGGACGAGAAAATTCACCGCAGTGCGCAGGTACATTGGAAATTATTAAGAAATACAGCCGCCTTTTTTTTTAAAATAAATAAACACCGGAAAGTATACGGTCTACCTATAGTTCTTGGTTAGGTCAAATTTTAGTTCTAAAACTTCGGCATCTGGATCGGACCTTTAGCTCTCCATTTGGGCGGAGAAATATTACTTTCGTTTCTCGGGAACCCTACAAAATGACAAAGGGAGGATTAAGAGGCAGTGGCTTTTCTTGTATTCCTTTCCCCGAGAACACTCAAAAATCCCACGAAGGGTGCCTTTTCTCTCTCTGCCGCCTGTGGAGACTAATGTGCGTTTTTTTCTTTTTCCGCTCACCTTCTCGTCTCCGGCGCGCTGGCTGTACCTCTACCTACTCCACACGATTCCGAACACATTCCCCCAAATCCGGCCTGAGGAAGTTATATATATATATATAAAAAACAAAAAAAAAAACAAGTTACGTTCTGGATTTTTCCGGGCGACGTTTCGCGGGCTGGTTTGGACCGCCTGCAATACTCCATAGTTTTGTGAAAGTTGCCTTTTGAGAGTATCAATAGTCAGGCTAGTGCGCTATCGATGGCATGGTGGTGCTGTATACTCTAGGAAGTCATATATTCATTCTTTTTTTGTGTGTGTATATCCTCCAAACTAGGGGGAAGAGAGGCAGAGAAAAAAAAAGTTCCCATTCCAGCGTGACGAGGTTTTGCACAAGAGGAGGAGGGGGCGGGGGGGGGGGGGGGGGTCGGGAGAGGGGCCTATCCTACCCCCCGTGCCCTCCGCACCTTCTCCTCGAGAGCTGCGCTCTAATTCGGCATTACAGAGATGGTAAATGCCTTTCTTTTTTTTAATACTTTTTATTCCGAAGGGAATTTTTTCACGTGTTACTCGTCAATACATATAGGGTCGTTCGTCTTCACGTAAAACCCAAAATGTCTCGATATTCGCACCCCAAATATGATAGAAATAGGACTAAACCCGACTTTCCCTTGTATTCGAAAATTTAATGTCATCGTTTCCTAAATTGATTTGTTTCAGAATTGGTTTGCTGGAAAAAAAAACTTTTGGTAGGAACACGTGCCTCAGCTCCAGGGTTGAAAACGAACCTTGATTCTATTGGCTTCACTGAACTGGAATGATATAGATCGAGACCACGAAATGTCGCTTTTCTATTTAGCTTGAAGTACCTTTAGCCCTTCATCAATTATTGTTTCAACCAGCGCAACAAAAAAATAGATGAGAAGCTATACTCTCAATATTTTTTTTTTCAGGAGCAGCAGATATATTTCTTTCTTTCTAACTGAATTTATATTGTTCTTAATTGTAAATCTACGCGTCAGCACTGAATCGTGATGTTGAGAGAACCTCATCTGAATTCATATGCGTCCTGAAACCGGACAGAACGTGGATGGAGACAAAGACGATGCGCATACAAAATGTTATGTAACCTATCAGGACTATGAAAAATTTAAAATCCAACTGACCTCTTGAACCATGTTCTAATCCTGCCTTGTGTACTTCAAACACTTGAATGCCAAAAAAAAATCCTTATGTTGTAATTAGTGGTTTTCAAATGGGGGTCCGGGGAACCTTTAGGGTCCGCGAAGGCACTCTAGGGGTCTACGAAGCCCAGCCTTCAGTAGAAACGTTCAAATTTTCGGGTGAGTTTTCTCGTGTATATGTCAATAAGAGAAGCGTGCCTCCTATTAGCTTTTAGTTTTTTTTTTCATTAAATAAATCAATATCATTATAACCTATACTTTTCCTTCCCTTCACCACAAACGGGGTCCTTCATCATCTCCGCCGATCCACAAGGGGACGATGAAATATCAATGCTTAAGAACCACTGTTGTAACCCGTCAACTTAGTGTTTATTATGAAATCAATGCCTGAGAACCACTGCTGTAACCCGTCAACCTAGTGTTTATTATACACATACCTTTTCAAATATGAATTTAAAAAACAAACACCCGAATGCCAGAGTTTTTTTTTTAAACCGCTTTCGTCCCGATTACAAACTTGAAACAAAGCGCCGACTCCCCCCCCACTCCAATCAGTAACTAGCACTAAGTTCTTGGCAAGGTATCTCGAAAGATTATTTGGAGAGCTTCATGAGGCGTTTAAATTCAAAGCGAAAGGCACGCCGATGTATTAGTGACACTTCAAATTTCTTATCGTCTAAAACGTACGATTCCTTGAAACGGGAGCTTTAGAGACAATAGTGATGACTGTGGCGCTTTGCAAGGCTATATGTGATTGTTTTCTTAAAAATTAAAGACACTTAGAACTGCTTACGTGTAGGAATGCGAAAGCATTCGTACACGCAGCGTTGCTGTTCTTTCGGTCAATGGTGATTTCAGTGCCGTTTTGCTGCTAAATGTGGTTAAAAAAGCACCGGCTTCACCACATGGAACAGTTAATGCTATTGCATTAAAATGGTCGTTTTGAGCGCGCCCTGAATCGTCCAATTTCCTGCGTACACGCGTGTTTTTTTTATTTTTCATTTGTTTGAATTTTTATGTGATTATGTGAACGAAACTACTTAGATTCCAGGGAGTAACCAGAACTGGGAGATAATAAAAACTTTCGTCAACATAATCAACGCTTTGCATAAGTTACGAAAGTAACCTCAAAAACAGACAAAAAGTTACATTTGTATCGTGTGTTTCATTTTTCTTCCAACACAGCTTTTAAGAAAAAGATGAGAGTCACGTGGGAACCGTCTCGAAGCTTTTTTTATTTTTCAGGATCGGCTGACAAGAGATGTGAAGTAAGTTTTAATGATCAGAAAGCTACTTAACTAAGCATTTGGCTTCAAATAATGGCAAATTGAGATTTAAAATATCGCCAAGAAGCCCGTTTTTTTCTTATTAAATCACTTAGTTTTAAGATAGCACCATGTATCGGTTCTCATGGAGCTAAATTACGTTTGTATAAATAACATACTAGACAACTTGATCTATTTCCTTTTATCACGAAACGGAATCCATTAAAAGTAGCACCTTATATGTATTCGAATGCCATACAAAAATGTGCTTTGTTTATTGTGAACGAATTGTAATCAATACATACGCTGATCAGACTTTCATGAAGATATAGCAAAAAAACAATTTTTCATTATTCCCATGGCAGACTTATGTTGCAGCGCGAAATTGAAAGGTTGGAGCATATTCCCCAGAGAGCGTTGACGTCTGTTCTGACGGTGTATTTAACATGTTGGTGCGTCACCGTGGAAAGGTCATTTCAGCTTCTTGACATGTATATGTCAAAATGCGTATGCTAAAAACAAAGGAACAGCTACGTAATCCAGCATGAAAAAAAACTGTGCATTTGGTAGAAGAGCCTTAGCTCCAAGTGGAGAAATGTTAAACAATTAAAAAAAGTAACAGCCGGTACTTTTGCGACTATATAAGATCCAACTCTAGTGGCCATAGGCACTCACACCCTCGTTGAGAACCAGTACACCAACAATGGGGTTGACCGGAACCACGCTGGTGTTGGGTGAGGTTTTACAGTTTTTAGAGAATCTGATGACATATTCTTTTGAGGTTATGGTTATGTATATAACGCTCAAACTATTTTATATAAATATTTTCAAACTAAGTGCAGTTCAAGTGATCCTGTTCAGTGTAATATATATTTTTATTGTTATTCATTAATAAGGACATCACTGATTTATGTTACCTACATTCCAGGCAATAGCTCTAGAAAACTGATGTGTGGTAAATGCATAACACTCAGTCATAATAATGTATTCTTTAGACACAGCTTGTTTTTTCCCTGTTTCCAGTGTCCTTCAGAAACTACAATATATGTCACCTGCTTTCTTTTGGAGATTAAAAACTCTAAACAAAAACAGGCCAAAAAGTAGCTACCGCGAATTCTATTCCTATCCCAATTATTTATGTTATAAGTTTGCTAAAATAAAACATATAAGGGTAGATGAAGAAAGAATAAATCAAATCTGGGACAACACAATATAGTTTTGTATAAGTTGAAAGAAATAACCTTTTTTTTTCACGCGGATTGACCTGGCTTGCATCGAATGTTTCCGGTGAAAGAGACTTTTCTCCGCGTTTCACCTTGCATTTCAAAACAATAGCGATGTTATTTAATGTTTTTGTTAATTCTGGTCCTCTCGAAAATATCAATCCCGCAGTAGATTTCGAAACTACATTTCGTGAAACTCCTTCAAAAATAGCAGCCAGCGCATAGGGTTCTCCTTATTAGCTACTAGATCAGCTTAACATCGATTGTGTCTAATGTTAACTGAACTTTATGCCAATCTTTATTCCAATATATACAGAATTCAGGAATGGTGTTCTTTCCACAACTTGATAATAATTTAAGGCCTTATCGCATATTAAATTTAAACAACCGTATTCTTAATACAAGCTATGCTTAAGGTGTCATCTTTATAATATGAGACGTGGATTTGGTAACTAAGAAAATGCACCAGCTTCTCAGCGGTGGTAATCGGTTACTGCGTTTGCCCGGCGACCGTATCCCAGCTGCTTAATATTACACTGTACGTTTCTTCCTAAAGGACCGCTTCCATATACTGAGTGGGTTTCCCAACGCACAAAAATAACCGAATATTTTGTCAACATCTTTGTTTATTTTTTTTACTTTAATATATAACTTACATTCGTTGAGCTCAAATACAGGTTACAATAAACTATTAAGGGTGACTTTACATTTACAACTGAAAACGTTGTATGTGACTTTACATGACTTGATTTTTGGGAGCATTATTTCCTGCAGTGTCTCTTGCGCTCTTCGGAAGCGCTGGTGCTCACACTATTTTTTTCAAGGACAGAATATATTTTTTTCAAGGATAGACCTGGTGTGCATAAAATGTTTTCCGAGAAAAAGGTTTCCTTCCGAATTTCAACAAGCCTTTAAAAACAACAGCGATCTTTTTTTATTTTTTTATTTTTCTACTCGTTCCCACTCAAGAAAATCAGTCGCGCATGCTGCATCAACATTTTTTTTGAAACTGGTTCGAAGACACCAGACAGCAATAGGGTCCTCCTTTGTCCTTCCGAGATCGCTTTAACATCGGTTGAGTGTGCTGGGTTAAACAGAGACGTGCACAACTTTGAGGATTAACTTACGAATTGTACCTTTTGACAAGCGTAGAAGTTTTCTCCTGCATATCTTCATGTCAATAAATACCCAATCGAGGAAAAATGTTCTTGCCACTACTTGATCATGATTTAAGTTCTTACGCCAGATTAAAGTTAGACACTTTATAACACCCTTGGATGCAGGAACTAAGAACATGCAACAGTTTTGCACTGGCGGAAATTCGTTATTGCGCTTGCGCATTGCCCGCATTACTGCGAGTAAATAATAAACTGTAAGGTTTTATCTGAAGAAACGCTTCCGTATACTGCTTAGGTATCTCTACCGACATCAATAAGCCAATAAATCATGAATGCCTTTTGTTAATTTTATTTCCACAATAACTCAAACAAAACATACCCTAAAGGCAAATAGGGTTAAATAAAACTTTTAAGCTTGGCTTCAGTTGAATTGAATTATGTGTGCTTCATTGCCTGCAGTGTCTCTGGCCTTTTTCGGAAGCGCTGCAGCCCACAATTGCCAGAACGGAACGAGACCCGAATCGGTAAACGTTCTTTCATTACACGTTTGGAAACATTTCGAGGTTTGATTTATAAATGAAAGCAACGATTATGTGCAGTGTACTTTTTTTTGTAAATTTTTCTGAAGCATTAAAGTGCACGTAAATTCGTCCACGAATTAATTCTTAATTTTATAAATTACTAACACGCGATTCACATTTAGTAATCAAGTTCTTGTGAAAATTAGTTTCAATTTTGTTCATCCTGTCTATACTTCCTACAGGAGAAAAATCGAGAAGGCTGCGACTATTACTGCTGGAACGCTGAGACCAAATTATGGGACCAATTTTTCTTTGGGAACGGAGAAACATGCTTTGTGAGTAGCAAGACTAATAGAGTTAACGCACGTACGGGCTGCCGCACTTGCAGGTCACAGGTTTTTCATGCGTGCCTTTCCGGTAAATAGTGTAATTCCTTTTATTTTCCAGCATTTTCACTGGAGCGGTTTTAAAATATTGCACATCATGAGGCGCGTACGTGCCGCTCTTTTTCTTTAGTTTGTTTACCGCCAAGTTTAGGCCGACATTTCAAATTTTTTTGTATTATTCCCCCGCCATAAAAAAACAAAAGATGATATGGCAGTATTATATTTATATGGGTTTAACTCTTAATCTGAAGGCTGTGACTTTTCAATAACAAGAGACGCAAAGAAGTATACAAGACGTAAGCCTTGTCTTCATCCACTAAGCCGAAACACATTTATGGTAACTTGTCGTGTCCTTCAAATGAAGTGAGATGACGGCGACGTGCTGCAAGCCCCAATTCGCAGCGTCGGTGTACACTCACTATGCACCGAAACTAATAAATTCGCAAATGCTTGGAAATTACGTAGGAAAGTAATACTGCGAAGAAACGTGGAACTATGACATCCCATGTCTGATCTCAAATGGTCAAGTAACGCCATTAGGCGTCATAGTGTTAGTGTCGTCACGTGATCTCAAAGTCTCCCGCTCTATGTAGCGGGTAAAGTCCCCCCCCCCCCCCCCCCTAAATCTAGCAGGGAAACGTTTCGGCTAATTCCGAAGCATAAGGTGAGGTAAGTTTCTCCACTACATATAACGGCAAGCATTCTGATATATACATAGCGGGAAAACGCTTTACACGACTTCACGTGACCTGACGTCAAATGACGATGCAAGTTCTCGTCGCTTAATTTAGATGACTCAGAGGGATTACGCCAAAGTGTCCCGTGACGTCACAGTGTCATACGATAGCGTCATTTCCCGTTAAGTCTTGCCCAAAGCGCTTGTCGCTCTAATTTTCCGGGTCACACCCCTCCACTGATTCTTCATAAGAAACACAACTGGGATCCCTTTCAAAACTTCGCGAATTAGAGTTGTAGCCGCAAAAAGACTAGTTTTGAAAGGAGACGGACTTGCTTTTCTAAGATTTTCGAGGTTACTGAATTCCCGTAATAAAAAGCGCCAGAATATTGGATGACTACTTTGTATGAGTGCTCTGCAAGTATCGCACAACATAATTTTTTTAATGAATTTGAGCACAACTAGTTGGAATTTTAACATTTTACAATAAGGCAACATTCTCGTTTCTCTTTAAAAAAAAATTTCTAGTCGGCACAGCATAATCATTTTCAGCTAGACTCATATTTTATTTTAATTATTTTATGTATGACGTATGTCACCTTAATAATTTTGATAATATTGCCAGGAATAATCCAACGCCATATAACGTCGTGTAAAACCATGTCTCGTGGAGTGTTTCTACTACCGTCTCAAGTGTGTGATTTGTTCCGTTAAGCGTAGCGGGTGCATTTTATGGTACATTCAGTGAAAAAGTTTTAAAATAATGGGATCTCATACTCTGAATTCTTCCGTTACAGAAAATTACTTCTCAAGGATATCTGAAATTTGTATGCACTTCTTTACTTTCTTATTTGCAGTACAACAGTGGTGATCGGGGAACATGTCAAAACGGAGAATGTCATTTGAACACTAGTTCAGGTGGGCCCAACGAGACTGATGACAATACTCCTGCGCCCACTGCAAAGCCGAAGCAAAAAAAGAAGAAAACTAAGAAGACTAAGAAAACGAAGAAGACTAAGAAACCAAAGAAAGATCAGGAGGGGAACTTCTGATTAAAATCCCTAAAACTAAACCAGGCTAAATAAATCTGAGACACTGACTGTTCGTACTGTGTACACTAGTGGTGCAAATAAATCGGTAGTCCTTTTGATGCTATCGATAGTTGAAGCCAAACCAACTATCGATAGTCAGAAATCTACAGATAGTGATATCGACATATTTCACTATAGTAAAGCTAGTGGTATATACTACCGATTGTATTTTTTCCACAGTCACCTATCGTGGAACTATCGATTTTATATTACCGATCGACAACCGCAAAGCAATCCATAGTATTTTATTACTTGAAGAAGAACCTCAAAAATACATCCAGACAATGTTGCCAAGCTCGGAGAAAAACGCAACAGCAATTTGGTACTTCCGCATAATTATTGTGGAACAAATTAAAATCGAGAGTAAAGCCGTAGAAATTTCCCTTGGAAACAGTTGACAATAAAAATGTTGCAAATCTGTCGAAGATAGAAACGGTAAAAAAAACTGCTGTTGAAAAACTATGAGTAAAAAGTATTGATAGTGAGGTAGTGTTACTTTTCTAGATGTGTCGTTGAAGCTTTATTTTTTTCTTCTTAGAATGTCTCTCGTGAGATTCCTATTTGTATATTTATAGCCAGAGTTCAACTAGGAAATTGATAATATTTTATCGACCTTAATAAGTAAGCTACGCACCGCAGAAATCCGAAACCCTATTTGCATATGTTGCTATGAAAGTTTATAAAATGCGGAACAAAGGAGAGATGATATTACTCGGACAAAAATGTAAGTGTGGTGTTTCTGTCGACTGAACAGATTGCGAGAAAGTGCACAATATTGCCTTTAGCATTCACAGACTTTTTTCACTCATATAATTTCTCACTGCCAAAACTACTTGTACTCGGATAAAATTATATTTTATTTTATTTATTTTGTTTTGATAAGCAGGATGCCCCCCCCCCCCCCCCCCCCTAAAAAAATATAATATATCTACAGTGGTTTTTTTTGACGACAAAATAAACTACGCATTGCTGTCCGAACCAGATACCGAAGTTTCGGAGCTAACCGTTCTCGTTTCAAACCAAATAAGTATTTTTTTTTTATATTTTCAATGGCAAGATAGCGACCGATGTAGCTCTCTGATTCAGGAAGCTCAATGGCGCGTGTTCACGAGAACGGAAGATGCGGATCCCATATATTCCCATTGAAATTTTGAGAAAATAACTTATAGTTCCTGATTGGAATAAAGTTTAGTTCTAAAACTTCGGCATCTTGTTCGCACCTCTAGCTCTACCTTTTGGCGGAGAATGAGCGTTCGACGATGCACAGTTTTATTTTTGCGGTGAAAAAAAGACAATGTAAATGTTTCTTTGTTGTTTTTCTGGAAAACGCTGTAGCCGTTACGTTCCTAAAGGTATTGTATCTAAAAAAAAGTTGGAAATAAAATCGTCCCTAAACAATCATATTGCCTTGGTTTAGGTTTTATCGGGTTATGTTGAATTTGAAGTGTACACACTAAAATCTCAGTTGCCTTTACTGAGTCAAAATTATTATTTCTACATCCTGACTGCTCCTGTGTTTCAATGTTTTATTTTATACAAACAGTCATATAATTTACCAGCAACCGTCACTAAAATTAGAAAATTGATGTGTAGAACCGGATCGGCTCGGGCACATATGCGCATGACATCCTCTACGAAGCTGGTCACGCTTTCGTTGGGGCCCTGCACCCTTGTTTGGAGAAGGTCCTCCGCTCGCTGCCGACGGTGGTGGTTGAGGAACGTTCGCTTCAACTCCGCGGCGCAGGACTCCCACGTAGTGAAGGACGCTTCGTGGTTTTCAAACCAATGCCTCGCAGTTCCTTCAAGCGCGAAGTAGAGATTGTGGAGGCATTGTTCAGTTGTCCATCCGTTGTGGCGGGCTACACGTTCGTAGTGTTGCAGCCAGTCTTCAACGTCCTCGTGGACGTCTCCGTGGAAAGGCGTTGGAGTCCTGGGTGCGATCGGCAGGTACACAACGGCAGAAGCGGCCGGGGTCTGCGCCTGGTTGGCCATCGTCGTCTTCGGCTTGGTCGTGGGTGGCAGAAGTCCGTGTTCCGGGGGTAGACCTCGGATGCGGCGACTTGACCGGGTCTCGACCTGGTCTTCGTCGGGTCCTCCGGAGCTGGGGTTTGGACTTGTACTGCGGGAACTCGGAGGGCTGCGCTGCACGGACATGCGGTACCCCCGCACCTCCACCAAAATGTCACGGGTGGTGACCAGAATAACAATAAATAAACAGGAAGAACTAAACGTTTAATGTGGCGAACTTGTGCCAAAACAAAAAGAGAATAGAAAATAATAACAAAGCGTCGCGAGCGTCGAGGTCGGCGAGACAGCAGAGTCGAGCGCTGGGGCGAAACTGCCTCGACAAGGTCGCGGACGGCCTCTTATCTAGAGTGCGTGGCTATCTCGAAGATTCGGCGAAAGCGGCTCGAGCGTCGCGTGATCGGGCGAGAATGAACACGCACTTTCTAGAAAACAAAAGCAGGAATAAATGATAGAAGTTACATGCGGTACATGAATAAACGAGAACTTTCTGGAGGTCCGTCACCGAGCGTTGCTTTCTCAACCCTGGGCGCGGCATTATCCCCCCCTTTAAAAGTGCATCGTCCCGATGCAGCACAAAAACGGAAAACAAAAAACAAAAGGACAGCAGAATTGCTAGCCGGAGTTCACAGTCCACAGTTCACTCGTCGACGAGAGTGGAGAGTCCTATCGTTCGTAATACGGCTTCAGCCGGACGACATGCACCACCTCGGGTCGCGGCTGACGTCTTGCAGATGGGCGCGTTCCGTCGGGTAGAACTTCGTAGTTCAGATCGCCGAGGCGTCGGATGATCTTGTAGGGCCCAAAGTAGCGCTTCAGGAGTTTTTCGCTGAGACCGCGACGACGAATCGGCGTCCACACCCAAACTCTGTCTCCGGGCTGGAAGTGGACGTCGCGGCGGCGAAGATTATACCGGCGAGCGTCGACATGTTGCTGGTCTTGAATTCGTAGTCTGACTAGCTGGCGGACCTCTTCTGCCCGTTGAGCAACCACCTGGGCGTCATCGCTCCCGTCGTTGACTGACTCGTGCGGCAACATAGAGTCTAGCATAGTCGTCACCGCCCGGCCATACACCAGCTGGAAGGGCGTCACTCCTGTGGTCTCTTGCACTGCTGTGTTGTAGGCGAACGTGACGTAGGGCAGCACTTCGTCCCAGGTCTTGTGCTCCACGTCGACGTACATAGAGACCATGTCGGCGATTGTTTTGTTGAGCCGCTCCGTCAACCCGTTGGTCTGCGGATGGTATGCCGTTGTTCGACGGTGTTCCGTGTGGCTTAGACGCAGGATCTCTTGGGTCAACTGTGCCATAAACGATGACCCTCGGTCTGTGATCAGTACTTCGGGGGCGCCATGGCGGAGGACGATGGACTCGATGAAGAACTTGGCGACTTCGACAGCAGTCCCCGAAGGAAGGGCTTTCGTCTCGGCGTAACGAGTAAGATAATCGGTGGCGACGATTATCCAGCGGTTCCCCATCGTCGACGGTGGAAAAGGACCCAGCAAATCCATTCCAATTTGCTGGAAGGGCTTGGTTGGCGGGGTAATCGGCTGAAGGAGACCTGCTGGCTTTGACGGTGGTTTTTTGCGTCGCTGGCACTCATGGCACGATCGTGTGTAGAGATGGACGGTCTTCGGAAGCTTTGGCCAGTAGTACTTGTCACGAATCCGGGCAAGGGTCCTGCTGTAGCCGAGATGTCCGGCCGTTGGGTCGTCGTGGCACGCTTGAAAAATTTCTTCTCGGAGGCTGGCGGGGACAACCAGTAGCCAGGGGGTTTCGCTGGTTCCGAAATTCTTTCTGAAGAGCACGCCTCGCCGCAGGACAAAGCTCGGTAGGTCCCGAGAAAAGACCCGTGGGACAGAGCCTCCTCGACCTTCGAGGCTGTCGATCACGGAGCTAAGTTCTGCGTCGTCGCGTTGCAGTGCCCTTATGTCGGTAGCGTCAACTGCGCCTAGAAAACGGGCGTCGTCATCGTCGTCCGCGCCGGAGATTGGAGGTTCGACTGGAGCCCTAGACAAACAGTCAGCGTCATTATGTTTGCGGCCGGACTTATGCACAATGGTTACGTCGAATTCCTGCAGTCGAAGGCTCCAGCGGGCGAGGCGTCCGGACGGATCCTTGAGGTTTGCGAGCCAGCAGAGGGCGTGGTGGTCTGTGACCACGCGAAACGGGATCCCGTACAAGTACGGGCGGAACTTGGTTATCGCCCAGACGACAGCAAGACATTCTTTGTCGGTCGTTGAATAATTTTGTTCTGCCTTAGACAGCGCCGGCTTGCGTAAGCGATTACTCTCTCTGCCCCTTCTTGTCGCTGAACGAGTACCGCACCGAGACCGGTATTGCTGGCGTCCGTGTGGATTTCAGTCTCCGCCGACTGGTCAAAATGTCCGAGGATAGGGGGCGACTGGAGCCTTCGCTTGAGTTCGTCGAACGCTTGCTCTTGCTCCTCTCCCCACTGGAACTGCACGTCGTCTTTCGTCAGATGCGTCAGTGGTGCAGAAATCTGCGCAAAATCACGAACGAAACGTCTGTAATAGGCGCACAGCCCAAGGAATCTTCGAACGGTCTTCTTGTCCGATGGCTTCGGGAACTCGGCGACAGCGGACGGCGGGATCAGGGCTTACACCCTGAGCACTCACGACGTGGCCCAAGAATTTGAGCTCACCATAGGCGAACCGACACTTGGAAGGCTTGAGGGTCAGCCCAGCAGCTTTGAAGGCCTGTAGAACGGCTCGCAGTCGTCTCAGGTGCTCGTCAAATTCGCTTGCGAAGACCACAACATCGTCGAGGTAGACGAGACAGCTTTTCCATTTCAAGCCGGCAAGGACGGTGTCCATAACGCGCTGGAAGGTTGCCGGCGCTGTGCACAGCCCGAATGGCATTACTTTAAACTCATACAGTCCGTCCGGCGTGACGAAGGCCGTCTTCTCACGATCTCGTTCGTCGACCTCAATCTGCCAGTACCCGCTCTTCAAGTCCATCGAC